GCACTCACTGGAGCTGGTTGATGATGACCATCCGTACATGCTCCCTGGCCTTCAGGATCTTCTCCAGCCGATGGATGTCATAGGTGTTGGGGTTCCGGAAGGGGATGTCATCTGGGAGGCCCTTCACCTCCACAGCATCTGGGCTGTCCCGGATCAGTTTGTAAGGAACTAGCACAGGCCGATTCAGTCCCAGGGCCTCACCTGAAGAACGGGGGTCAGAGCCAGAGAAAGATGGTCCCATGTCAAACGGTGAAAGTCTCTGGGAAAGGATTATGACTCTGACAGCCCAACTCAGCAGTCATCCAGCCCCAGGGACAGCAACATCACCCATGTAAGTATGTGACATCAGATTCTAGAATTGCCCAGAAGACATACCTCCGGGCATATCTGTCAAAGTTTCTAGACTGACTTGATTGATGTGGACCCCTTCTAAATGTGGGTGTCACCATCTCACAGGTCTGTGGTCCAGAAGGGAATGAAATGGACAGAGTGGGCTGGGTACCAGCACCCATCTCTCTGCTTCCTGACTACAGATGTGACAGGACCAGGGAACTCACTTTCCTGCCCTGTGGTCTATAGATCTGCAGACCCTTCCTTCCTTAAGTTGTATACTTTGTCACAGCAATTAGAAAAAGTAAGCAATATTAATACCATCAGCCACTAGGGTCACGAGAGCCACCCTGTAGACCCGCCCCGGCCGCATGGGAGCACTAGGGAGCACTGACCGTATTTCTCATTGAAGAGCTCCTTCACCTGCTCTCGGAGGATCACTTTCTCCCCGAGCCTGTTGGCGTCATCCTCATCTGTAGGAAGACAAGAGCACCTGCTGAGTAGCCTCTGCAGTACTGCCCTCTCTCTGACAGCTGCTTCGGTCTCATAAGTAAGTATACCATCCGCGCACCGGCTCACTTCCGCTCACAGTCATCCATCGCCACGCCCACCCGCTCACCTCCTATTCATCTATTCAACTTTCCATCAAAGCAGCACCCCCACCACAGCCCAGGCATCGAGCACCCAAGTGAGGCCAACAGTGCAGGGGATATCGGTCATAACCCAGCATCAAGTGTGATGAGACACTCGGGAGGGAACACCAGGCATTACACAGGAGACCGGAACATTTGCTTTTTTGTTTTGTATTCTTGTTTTCATTTCTCTAAGGCAGGGTCTTATTCTGCTGCCCATACTGGCCTTGAACATAAACATCCTATCTATGTCAGCCTGCTGCATGCTGGGATTAGAGGGACATTCCACGATGTCCTGCTAGGTGCTGGGGATGGAACCTGAGTACTCAACGTGCTTTGGGGCACTGAGCTACGGCTCAGCTCACTTGGTTTGAAAAGATGATTTTTGGAGGGACATGACTGACCCTGGAGAGAGGGTCTGCACTTCTACCACTGTATGTATGTGTGATGTATGTATGTATGTATGTATGACGTATGTATGTGTGATGTATGTGTGATGTATGTGTGCGTGTATTATGATGCATGTATGTATGTATGTATGACGTATGTATGTGTGATGTATGTGTGATGTATGTGTGATGTATGTATGACGTATGTATGTATGCATGACGTATGTATGTGTGAGGTATGTGCGATGTATGTATGACGTATGTATGTATGTGTGATGTATGTATGCATGTATATATGTATGTGTGATGTATGATGCATGTATGTGTGATGTATGTATGTGTGATGTATGTATGCATGTATGTATGACGTATGTATGTATGTATGTATGTGTGTGTGTGTCTGCCTCCCTGCCTTTGCTTACCAAAGGGGTTTAAAGGTGTTCATGCTCAGTTTATGTCATATTTATTTATATATACATCATATGTGTGCAGTGTCTGAAGAGGCCAGAAGAGGGTGATGGATCGCCTGGAACCGGCCTGGTGGGAGGTTGTCCTCTGATCTGCACACATTCAGTTGCACAAGCACCCATACCCACACACACCCACGCCCACACACAGTGGCTAAGGACAACAAAAAATCCTTACTGCCCACTGTTCAAATTTCCCGTCACCTCAAGAAATTCTATTTTGTGTCTTTTATCTCTTAGATATCTGAAATCAGTTCCTTTAAATTTGAAATCTGCCTCTCTCTCTCCCTCTCTCTCTCTCTCCCTTCCTTTTGGCTTTTTGAGACAAGGTTTCTCAGTATAACCAGCCCTCACTGTCCTGGACTCACTTTGTAGCCCAGGCTAGCCTCGAATTCATAGACATCGCCTGCCTCTGCTGCCTCTGTTGGGATTAAAGGCACACCATCTGGCTGTATAGGTCCTCTTTTGGGGTGGGGAAGTCATGGTGGAATGTAGCCCAGGCTGATCTTGAACTCACCATGTAGCCAAGGGTGATCTTGAACTCCTGATCCCCCTGCCTTGAGTGCTGGGAACTGAATCCAGGCCTTCAAGCAAGTCAAGTGTTCTACCAACTGAGCTAACTCCTGGCCCAACCCCACTCCTACCATTTGTTGCTATTGATGTTTGAGACCCTTAGCCTCCTTAGTGCTGGAATTATAGACATGAAGCTTGGCAGATCCTGGTTGTTGGTCTCTTTTCTGAGGATCTATCCACCTTAGAAACCGTCATCTTACTCTTTCAAATCCACCATGTTAGCCCGAAGGATAACCGTATTTGCCTTAAGGAATACACCTGCATGCTTGTTCTTGGGCACACATACACACAGAGGCCTGGCATATAATGTCACAGCCAGATATTTACACAGGATCAACACACTTGGTTTGGCAGCCATGCTGGGGCTGCTATACTGTCCAACCTCAGGGTGAAGTTCAGAGGCCTTGAATAACTTGGGCCTCTCCCCACCTGAGTGGAACAGGATGCCTCCTGCAGGAAGCAGGGGCTACTCTCAAGAGTATTTGTGGTAAGGAGGGACAGACAGCAAGTTACAGGGGACAAAACGCCATATCCTTCTTCCTGCCTACAGCTTGCACAGTACCTCCCCCTTTTATGGATAACATGATTAAATACAAGAACTAAGAACAACCACTGCCGAGTTCAAGTTCACTGGGTTTGTTTGTTTTGTTTTTCAGCTGGGCCTCAATCCCATGAACCTCCTACCTTGGCTTTCCTGGTGCTGGGCGGGCATGTTCCACTGGAAGTATTTTTTGCTTCTTTCATTAACTTATTTTGTTTGTGTGCACATATCCATGCATGAGGCCCATGGCAGGCACGTGGAGCTCACAAGACAACTGATGGGGCTTTCAGTTTGTGTTTGCTTTTGTTTTTCTGACACAGGATTTCTCTGTGTAGCCTTGGCTGACCTGGAACTCTGTGGATCAGACTAGCCTTGAACTCTCAGAGACTCGCCTGCCTCTGCCTTCCTAGTGTTGGGATTATAGGCATGCGTCACCAGGCTTGTCTTTGAGACAGAGCTGCACCATGTAACCCTGGCTGTTCTCCAGTTTGCTAGGCTGGAACTCAGAGAGATCTGCCTGCCTCTGCCTCCTGTGTGCTGAATGACATGTGTACCACCATGCTTGACTCAGAGGACAACCTGTGGGAGTCTGTTTCCTCTTATATACCATGTGGGTCCCAGGGACTGAACTCAGGTTGTCCAGCTTAGAGTCCTGTGCCAAGCCTAGGGTGTTATTTTTCTTTACGTCCCCAATTTTCCATCTTTTCCTTCCTTCCTTTTATTTATTTAGTTAGTTAGCCAGAGTCTCAAATAGCTCACTTGAGTCTCAAATTCAGTATATAGCCAGAGATGATCTCACAATATGCCTGGACTGCCGAATGCTAGGGATTGCAGATGCGTGCCACCATGTTTAACCTGTAATTTGTTCAAACAGCGGCACAGACAGAGACCCCTGGGACCCTTCTGACCTGGCTGCCAGCTGTCTTGTTGCAGTCTCCTTGGTCTGGTGGTTTTTCCAGCTTCGTGTCCTGTAGTGAGAATTTTGGTTTCTTAAAAAAAAATGCAGAAATATTGTAAGAATGTCTTCTCGTTTTAGTTCCACGTGTGGGAGACGGGCCAATTTGGGTTGTCTACAGCGGTTGACTGTGATCTGCCTCGTGTGGGAGACAGGCCAATTCGGATTGTCCACAGCAGTTGACTGTGATTTGCCTCGTGCTCTGGTAGGAGCATGGTTTTGTCAGCTGCAGATAGTTTCTGGTAAGTGTGTGACCTTTGGAAATCTGGGGCCCTTTTAGAGGATATAAATGTTAGGGTCCCGAGAGAGCAGGTTGCTGATGGTGGGCTCTTGGTTGGTTGCTGTTGATTAAGTAGTCGTGCACGAAGAAGAAATAAGAGGAAATTAGATATCCTGCTGGGGAAAATCAAACCTGCCCCCAAGGAAATCTATACCCCTGATAAGGAGGAAGTAGTCTAAAGATATCAGGCCCTTTTCCTACCCCTGACTTTATTAGATGATTTCTCTCTCTCTCTTTCCCCTACCTGGTGTTAAAGGGTTGAAAGGGTAGAAGAAGAGGGGTGAAAGAGAAAAGAACCCACAAAGCAGCCAATAGTCTGGCTACAGTGCCTCCATCCCCACCCCCCAACTGTCATCTAACCTTTCCTCAACATCCTGCAAAGACCCGAGTGTCCAGTAACCACGGAGCCGAGTCCCACCTTCACCCCACCCTTCCTGTTCTAATTCGGCTCAAAAACAAATACTGTGGTAGGTGGCCACTCTGTGCTGATGTCACATCGACTCAAATGAAGGTGTCGGTTGCTCTTATCGACTTGGGTGGCCTTCCGAGGTTAATTTTGTGTGTGAGTTTGTCTATTCACGCCTTTATATCAACAGGACGCTTTCTTTTTTGATAGAGTCTCTCATTTGGAACTGGCCAAGCAGGCTAGGCAGGCTGCACTGTGTATTCACTTGTTTCTCTCTGCTCCCCCAGAGCTGGTGGTGTAAGTGGATCCCACCATATCTGGTCCTTTCTGTGGGTTTGCTGATTGAGCCATTCCAAGTCCCTCTGCTTCATGTTTACGAAAGGGTTTCTGGAATCTTATTGAAAAGTCTGAGGCTCCCTCAACCTCATGGGGTGGCAGAGCCTCCTTTTTTATGATCCTGAGAACAGATAAGTTCCTTTCCAACCACACATGGGGTGCAGGACATGAAATCTTTTGTTTGGTTTTCTTTTTCAAGACAGGGTTTCCGCTGTGTAGCTCTGGCTGTCCTGGAACTCACTCTGTAGATCTGCCTGTCTCCGCCTCTCGAGCGTTTGCACTAAAGTCGTGGGCCACCACGCCCGGCTAGGACTTGCTATCTTTATCCCATCCAGAAGCAGAACAGGCCACAGTGCCTCTGGCTGAGTTTCCACAGACTAGGAAATGGTCAGGGTTTCCCAGACACTTGGCTTCATGGCTCCTTTGAGAATAAAGGAGGAAGCATAGGGCCAGATCTGGGCCCAGCAGTGGGGCATCTACCCACTGAGGCCTCCCTGCCCCACCCTGGCAGAGGCCATTTCAGGAAGACAGAAAGGTAGTCATTACCCGAGCCATACTGACAGAGAGCAGTACAGGTAATCACTGGGAGCAAGTATGGCTGGCCCTGGGATTGTAGTATCTTTAGACACCAAGAAAGGACAGTAGTATTTTGAGATCTCAAGACCAAGACAGAGCTGAAAGGGTAGAGAAGGAAGAAGGCAGGGACTGGAGGACTGGGGCCAGGGAAATATTGCTCAGGCCTTGAAGACTGGAATACAGAAAGGCAGAGAGAACCCTGAAGCAATGATGGCCGAGAGACAGTAAGTCAACCTACCTAAAACTATAGATTGTTAAGGTAGGCTTATCTAAGACCAGAGATACTAAGTTAACTCTCTATGATCATACACAGTGAGCTAACTTACCCCAGATCCAATTAACTTATCTAAGATCATAGTAAGTTATCCAAATTGAAGACCATAGTTAATGTATCTAGTAGCACAGCTCAGAAATGGCAAACTTAGGTTCCTAAAGGGGCAAAAGAGACAGTCTGGTCCCCTGGCCTATGTCAGGTTCCCTCGTCCAGGAAGCTCTCCTTACTTTTGAGGTGATGGCAGATAGCACTGAGAGACCCTCAGCACTGTGAACTACCTTATGTGGCAGGCAGGCCCTTCCCCTCCACTGAGCATTTCAAACTGGGCCTCAGACAATGCTAGAGAAATGGAATAGCCACTTTCCTCAGGTAAATCATTGTTATAAAAGCTTAGAAAATATTAAGTTTGCAGGGAAATGGTGGTGCATGCCTTTAACCCCAGCACTCAGGAGGCAGAGGCAAGTACATCTCTGAGTTCAAGGCCAGCCTGGTCTACAGAGCGAGTTCCAGGACAGCCAGGGCTGCACAGAGAAACCCTGTCTCAAAAACAAAACAAAACCACCAAACCAACTAAGGGCTGGAGAGATGGCTTAGTGGTTAAGAATACCAGCTGCTCTTCCAGAGGTCCTGAGTTCAATTCCCAACAACCACGTGATGGCTCACATTACAGATTGTTATCTATAATGGGATGTGATGTTCTCACCTGGCATGTAGGTGTATCACACAGACAGAACACTCTCATATTTAAAAACACACACACACACGTGTATGTGTGTATGTGTGTATATATATATATACATAAAATTAAAAGAAAATATATACACAAGTAAAATTCAGCTCCAGGACCATTGCCTTTGACAGGCACTTCAGAGAAGACCCAGTCTGACAGCCCGTTGATTAAGCCATGAGTCTCTCACCAGGACAAGCATAATTCTGCTGGGCAGCCAGGGTGACCTTGGTTAAACAGCTAGCTAGCTACGTTGGTCTGCCTTAAGCGTCCATAAAGCCACAAGAGGGGGGGGTCTGTCCTGGGATGCTTTCTCTTTGGGAACACAATAATATTAAAGAGATTAAAAAATGTCCCCCTTGTTCTCTTTATGATTGGAGTAAATTCTCACGGGGTAGGGGTGGAGGCTTAATTTGCTGTAACAGTTTCTCAAAATTGAAATTGAACTGGGAAGTTGATTGTGGGTGTCTTAGATTAAGTGGGACTGTTGGGAATTTGGCTGTAGCTCCCGGGGTGCTCAGGTTTCTGTGCAGCAGGGACCCAGCACAAAGACCTGCCAGGCCTACATTTACAAGATCTAGTCCAGGCTGCAGTGCCAACCCTTCTGAGCCTCTGGCTGAGACCTATCTGGCCTTGGCTTTGGGCTCCAGACTAGAGGCAAAACAATCTCATTTCTGTTTTATAGTTGAGGGCATTGATGCTCCAAAGAGCTGAACCTGGCTTGCTGATGTCACACAGGAAGCTGGTAGCTCTGTCTGTGGGGACCCTAGTGCACCCCACTTTTCCTTGACAGTGCACCCAGGCTGCACCCTGGTGTCAGAGGTTAACAGTGACACTGGTGATGTGTGTCTGTCTGTGTCTGTGTGTGCCAAGCGTCTGTGGCACCTACGGTGGCTAGAAGTGGGCATCTGATCCCCTGGCACTGGAGCTACAGGCAACTGTGAGCCAGCCATCTCTCAGGTCCCTATGATTCAGTTTTGAGACAAGGTTTCTTATAGCCCAGGCCAGCCTCAAACTTACTACGTAACAGAAGCTGGCCTTGAACTACTCCCAGGGGCTGGGAGGATATACGTACATCCCCACTACATACTTGGGGTGGGGGGGGGAACAACTGGCTGTTTGGAAGGTCATAGTGGGCAGGAAAGGGAAGGAGATCATGTCAGGTTTTGTACCGTGGAAACAGCTCTTCCCATCCTCCTTGGCAGCAAACCACGTAAGAATATTCTCTTTGCTAAGTGACTACCTAAGTTCCGCTTGAATGCCTCTGGCAACAGGGAGCTCACTACTTACAAAGCTTCGTCCCCCACCCCCAGGCTTCTCAGACCCAGGCTTTCAGATTATTTTCCATCATTTTTACCTCAGACCTTGTCAGCACCCCCCCCCCCCCCAGGCCTCTGTAGATGTCCTTGTTTTGTTCTTGGCTCCAGCTTTACCTTCTGTAGGCCATCTGCCCCAGGTGGAAGCTGGTCGCCATAGCTACCACCAGAACATTCAAATCTGACATCATTTGGAAAACAAAGCTCTGAGGCCTGAACATAAAACCCAAACCACATCAAACCTGGTGGAATGGATCTATAATCCCAGTTACCTGGGGTGGGAGGTGGGGAGGAGGAGGAGGATTGTAAATTCAAGGCCAGCCTGGGCTACCTAGTGAGACACTGTCAAAGATAGACAGAGCTGGGTGGTGGTGGCCCAGCGCTTGAGAGGCAGAGGTGGATCTCTGTGAGTTCAAAGCCAGCCTGGTCTACAGATGAGTTCTGTGATAGCCTGGGTCACACAGAGAAACCCCGTCTCGAACAAACAAAAGAAAGAATTCAAGCCGGCTAGGGATGTAATTCTATTGTGGAGTGCTTGAAGCCCTGGGTTTCATCCCCAGCACTGTACAAAATGCTACGGGCTCGGTGTGCACACTTGCAAGCCCAGCACTGTGGAAGCAGAGCAGACGTGGGAGTCAGAGTGCAAGGTCATCCTTGAGGTCCATCCAGCAAGTTCAAGGCCAGCCCCGGATACCTGAGACATTTTGTTCCAAACAACGATAACGAAACAAACGCAAGACCCAGAAGTCCAAGTTCATGGCTGTCTCCTCACTCAGCCTGGAAAATGTCACTTCCCTAGGCTGAGAGCTACCCTTGCCTCCAGATATGACGAGTCTGGCTTGTCACTGGAGAGAACGATTCCACCTGCAGTCTCCACTGTATAGATCTGGAGAAACCAATCTGCCCTCATTTTTAGAGGATTTCAAGTGTGCATGCTGTTCACACGTGTTCACAGGCCCTGCCTTCCTCTTCTCTCTCCACAAGATTCATCAATCCTTCGCTCAGCATCCCGCATTGTTCCAGTGATTCCTCTGGGACTATGCCTCCAACAGTCGTCCCCACAGGGACCTCCCCAGCTGGGGGACTCTTACAGACACAGAGGGACTGTACCTTGTCCCAGCACCTTTCCTTGATATAAACTAAAGTCAAATGAGACAATGCCTCCATCAGAAGGCCTGTAGGTAACCCCATAGAGCATTTGCTTAATTAGTGATTGATCTCAGGGAGGGCCCAGCCCCACTGTGCTAGGCCCAGCAGGTAGTCGTGAGGTATATAGAAAGCAGGTTGAGCAAGTCAGGGGGAAAGGCAGTAAACAGTATTCCTCCAGGTTCCGGCCCTGGCCCTGTCTTCCCTCAGTAACAGAGTGTCCCCTAGGAATTAAAAGCCAAAACAACCCCTTCCTGCTCTAAGGTGTTTTTTTTTACCATGGTGTTTATCATAGCAACAGAAACCCTCAGACAAGAGTGGACTAGTCTGACAGAATATAACACGTCTGTAATCCCAGCACCCAGAGGTGGAGGCAGGGGGATCCTAAGTTTAAGATGATTCTCAGCTGAACAACACTAAGTTCTGGGTTGGCTTGGTCTACTTCACAAAAAAGAAAAAAAAAAAGAAACGTTTTCTTTTTCAAAGAAGAAACTGGGATTGGGGTGGGGGTAGAGAGATGGCTCAGTGGTTAAGAGCGATGGTCGCTCTTGCAGAAGAACAAGGTTCAATTCCCAGCATTCACTGTGGCTTACAACCATCTGTATCTCCAGTTCCCTGACCTCCACAGACACCAGGTACACACATGGTACACATAAATACATGCAGGTCAGCCAGTCAAACTGATAAATAACACACACACACACGCACACACACACACACCCAACACAGCAGCAATAACCACAACAAACAGACAACAGACAGGGCTAGGGAGATAGCTCAGTGGGTAAAGTGCTTATCTGGAAAACACCAAGACCTGAATCTGAGCCTCACATCCTCTGTAAGAAGCAGGGCCTGGAGCCAGCAAAATAGCTCAGCTGGTAAAGGCACCTGCCTGCCTCTAAGGCTGAAGACCTGAGAGTGCGCGCGAGTGCGTGCGCGCGTACACACACACACACACACACACACACACACGCAGGAGAGACAGCTCAGTGGTTTAGAACACTCACTGCTCATTGAGAGGACCTGAGTTTGGTTCCCAGGGCCCGTGCAAGGCAGCACACATCTGTAACTCCAGCTGCAGGGGATCTGGTGACATCTTCTGGTCTCTGAAGGCATCACATTCACAGATTTTGTTTTTTTCCTTTCCTTTTTTCTTAAAAGCTATGAGTGACAGTGTGAAATTGTAATCCCATCACCGGATAGTCAGGGACAGGAGGATGCCTAGGACTAGCTTGTCAGCCTAGCTTCAGGCCAGTGAGAGATACTATCTTAAATATATATAGGGCAGCTCCAAGAACTGCCCTCTGCACACATGAGTGTGCCTCCACAATCCCCCCGTACATACACACAGAGGAACACCCATACCCTACACACACACACACACACACACACACCACACACACACACACACACCAAAGCCAGATGCCTTTAAACTTAGTACTCAGGTAGATCTCTGTGAGTTCGAGGCCAGCCTGGTCTACAGATCAAGTTCCAGGAAAGCGAGGGCTACACAGAGGAACCCTGTCTGGAAAAACATAACAAACAAATGAAAAATCCTAAAACCAAACCAAAAAAACCAAACCCTATCAATCAAGTAAATAAGCCAGTTTGAACAGGGAGATTGCAGACAGGACCCGTGTCATTGCATCTAGTGGTCAGGAGGGGGCGACAGAGAGACACTCAGCAGGATCAGAGATTTAGCACAGGAAGGTACAACCTGGCTCCTGCAAGTACGGAAGTCCTCTCCTTTCAAATCTCAGTCAGGCTAGGCAAATGCTTGTGACTTCGAGAAATTTCCCTAAACTCTCTTGAGTCTATGTTTCCTCTTGTGTGAAGCTAACCGACCCCAGAGTGGTGGCCCACAACTGTCACCTCAATGCTCTGGAGGCGGAGGCAGGAAGGTCACAAATTTGAGGCCAGTCTGGGATACATATCAGGACTCTTTTCGCCAAAAACGAGTGGGTTTGGGGGCCAGGGAGAGACATGGGGGCTGTACGGGGATTGGCTGACTTATATACTGGTTTCCTACCGAGGCTGGAGGTCCAGTCACACTTCCTGGACCCCAGAGGGACAGGAGCAGCAGCACCCAGCAGTGACATCAGTTTAGGCAGTCACTTATGTCAGGGTTGGCCACTGGCTAGGGTCTGGCTTTAGGCTATCAGTCTGGGTCCTACATTTACAAACTAACTCAAGAGCTAGGGTGGAAGGTAGAGGGAAGGAGCTTGCTATTGGACCAGGCAGACAGGCTGGGCCAGGGTCAGTCCCAAAGAAGGGACTTTCTGAATGTCTCACTGGAGGGACGACAGCCCTCTGTGTTTGCCTTGTTGTGCCCAGCTTCCTTCCTGAGGAAGTCCTCATTTCCCTCATGGTCTGACTGCCTACTCTGGCTCAGCCTCTAGCCCCACCCAGGGCTGTCTCCACAGTGGGCACAGGATCCTAGAGTCCTCCCTGTGAGCTACTGCAGAAGGTAAAATGAGGCCAGGGACTTTTTGTGTTTGTTTGTTTAAAAAATTTTTTTTCAAGATACGATCTTGGGGACTAGGGATATACCGGATTTGATAGGTTTTTCTCTAGAATGCATATGGCCCTAGTTCCAGCCTCAGCACCTCAGGCTTGGTGGAATACCTGTAATCTTAGCAAGCTTGATTTAGCCACGCCCCCAGCCCCTCAATGCGGGATTCTAGGCAGGAGCTCTACCACTGAGCCACGCCCCCAGCCCCTCACTGGGGATTCTAGGCAGGGGCTCTCCCACTGAGCCACGCCCCCAGCCCCTCACTGGGGGATTCTAGGCAGGAGCTCTACCACTGAGCCACGCCCCCAGCCCCTCACTGGGGGATTCTAGGCAGGGGCTCTACCACTGAGCCACGCCCCCAGACCCTCACTGGGGGATTCCATAGGAGCTCTCTTTCTTTTTGTTTGTTTTCTGAAACAATGTTTCTCTGTGTAACCCTGGCCATCCTAGAATTTGTTCTGCAAACCAGGCAAACCTCAAAATCACAGAAATCGACCTGCCTCTCCCTGCAGGGTACTGGGATTAAAGGTGCACCACTACGCTCACCGTTTTCTTGTGTTCACTTGAGACTGTCTCTCACTGGCCTGGAGCTTGCTGAATAGACCAGGCAGGCTGCTCAGTGAGCTCTAGCAATTCGCAAAGCTCCACCTCCCTGGCACAGGATTGCAAATTGCACCACTACACACAGGTGTGCGTGTGGTGTGTGTGTGTGTGCATGCACACACGTTACTACCCCATTCCCTACACACAGCTACACAGCTTTGTATGTGGGTTCCTGGGATCAAATTCAGGTCCTCTTGTTTGCACAGCAAGTATTTTACAGACTACGTTATCTTCCCAGCTCCCTAACAACTCACATCTTGCCACCAAGCCCCCTGCACCCTATGACAACACTCAAATACATTTGCCATCAATCTCCCCCTCTATGAGTCAGCCAGGTCTCCCAGAGGTCATGGGGACCCTGGCACAGCTGCGACCTCTGCCTGGGTGAAGCCCACGGCTCCAGTGCTATCTCAACGGGCTCTTAAGACCAGAGCATCGGCAGGAAGAGTAGGGCAGTACCCAGGTCCTGCTCCTGAGCTGGGCAGTTGTATCTCACGATGGACTTGGCTTTGAGCTCCCAGAACTGTCCACAGACGCCCCACCCCCAACACCAAGTACCTCCCAAGCCCACAGAGGTACCACTTACCAGGCTTCGGGATGAGTCCTTGAAAGGGCCTGGAAGGGAAACAGAAGTGAACTTCAGGGAAAAGAGATGCAGACAAGGTTACCACTAGGTACACGGGGACACTAGCTTGCCAAGGAACTGGTAACAAATGCCCGGGGCCTGCTTCAGACATTAGCATTTAATGTTTGACGCTTGGAGAGAGGGTCTCATGTAGCCCAGACTAGCCTTGAATCCCTATGTTGTAGCCAAGGCTGACCCTGAATTTCTGGTCCTCCTGCCTCTATCTCCTGAGTGCTGAGATTACAGGTATGTACCATTACTCCTGGTTTATATAAGGTGCCAGGGATGGAACTAAGGGCTTCCTGTGTGCTAGACATGCTATGAAACCAACCAGGCCACTCCCCTAGCGTTTTTGTTGTTGTTGTTGTTTTTAAGAAAGGGTCTAATTATGTAGCCTGAGCTAACTTTAACTCCTACGTTCCTGCCTCTGCTTCCTGTGTGGCAGGATGAGGGCATGTTTTGGGATCCGTACCGTGTGAGCATGTGCACTGGGGGCAGGGGAGAGAAGACAGAACTTGTTTATGTGCACACATGCATGCCAAAGCCTGACTTCCAGAACCTTCCTTAGTCAGTATACTTTTCTTGGTTTCTTTTTTGAGAAAAGGCTTCTCACCGAACACAAAGCAGGTCATTTAGCTAGACTGGTTACCACCAAGCCCCTGGGACTCTCCTGTCTTTCCCAAATGTCATGGCTGGGGTAATAGGTACACCCCTCCCCCAACAACATGCTCAGATTTTTGCATGGGTGCTGAGGTGCATCCAAACGTAGGTCCTCATGCTGGCTCAGTAAGCACTTCCCCACAAAATGGACTCCGGAGCCCCAGAATCTGCACTTCAATCAGATGTCCAGGGCATGTATGTATATGAAACTTTTGCTTTCTCAGGGGGCTGGGTATGCCTAAGGAACTGATGTGGGACATACAGTTAGAAGGGTACCCAGTTAATATGCGGGATCCCCTGCACCCAGCCTGGTGGGTAGAGCAACCCCTATAGGAAGGTCTACAGGAAGACCATAGGAAGGTCTGGAGCCAGCTGGCAATCCCAGCCAGTGTAATCTGAGCTCTTCCTTATTAAGTACCTGGTGACCGTGAACTTGATCTTGTCAGCCACAGAGAGAATCCTTTCCAGGTTCTGGGAGCCGAAGGTGCAGGGTTTGCGGAATGGGATTCCAGGGGGCAGGCCTTCGATGATCACCGAGCCTGGATTGCTTTTGATTCGCTTGTAGGGCACTTGCACTGGGTATTTGATGCCCAGAGCTTCACCTGGATACGAGAAAGGCCGTTGTATCAGTCAGGAGCAGGAGGTAAAACAGGGTGTGCGGCAGGAATATGAGGTTTCTCTCCCAGAGGGCTCAGGCCCTTTGTGGAAGACAGGAGAAGTTGTACGTGGCTTGGACTTGGAGATTCATATGTGTACTGGGCAGTTTCTGTGGGAATCCACGCTGGGTGGACCTTGAATACGTGGCTCCTGGTACTGGGTTAAGGCAGCACTTAATATTTCTCGGACTCCAGGCTGTGCCACTGAGCACCTGCCTCCCAGATGGGAACCCCGAAACATCGGCTTTTACCCAGACCATGGAATTCAGATTCACAGAGTCAGGACCTTGTGAATCTGACCCCGGAAGTGAATGGGTATGCTCCACCCAGCGGGAGGAAGGTAGATGAAGGCAGCCAGGGTGCTGTCGGGATCGCAGGGACCACTGTCTGCCTGGTCTCAAGTCCCGTCCCTTCTTCCTTTCCCTCTGTTTCTTCTGAGACAGGGTCTTATTATGTAGACCAGGCTAGTCCTCAGAGATCCACCAGACTCTTCTCTTAAGTTCTTGGATTAAAGGCATGTACCATCACGCCTGGCTCTTCTATATGCAAAGTCTTTTAATTAATCTATTTATTTAATGTGTATGGATGGGTCTTTGGTCTGCATGTATGTCTGTGTCCCATGTGTGCAGCCTAGTGCTATCAGTCCAGAAAGGGATATCAGATCCGCTGAGACTCGAGTTACAGATGGTTGTGAGCCACCATGTGGGTCAGAAAAACCAAACGTAGCTAATGCTAGTGGCTAAGCTACCTCTCCATCCTTACCAGCAATTCTCCCCCCCCCCCCGCATCCCCCTCAAAGATTTATTTATTTTATTTATATGGGATCACTGCAGCTGTCTTCAGACACACCTGAGTGCATCGGATCTCATTACAGATGGCTGTGAGCCACCATGTGGTTGCTGGGAATTGAACTCAGGACCTCTGGAAGAGTAGTCAGTGCTCTTAACTGCTGAGCCATCTCTCCAGCCCCTCACCCTCACCAATTATTAAGGTTTTTTTGGGTTTTTTTGGGGGGGACAGGGTCTCACGTAGCTCAGGCTGACTTCCAACATGCCATGTAGCTGAGAATGGCTTTGAATTCCTTCCTTCTTGATTAAAGGTGTGCACCACCAGGGGCTGAGCGGTTAAGAGCGCTGACAGCTCTTCCAGAGGTCCTGAGTTCAATTCCCAGCAACCACACAGTGGCTCACAACCATCTGTAATGGGATCCGATGCCCTCTTCTCATGTGTCGGGAGACAGCTACAGTGTATGCATATACAGAAAATAAATAAATAAATCTTAAAAAAAAAAAAAAAAAAGGTGTGGGCCACCACCTCCTGGCTGGTTGTGAACTTCTGATCCTCCTGCCTCTACCTCCTGAGTGTCATGATGACAGTGTCAAACTGCCATCACACCCAGTTTATGTGGTGTCATGGATGGAGCCCAGGGCTTCACACATGCTCACAAGCAGCTTATCAACTGAGCCACAGCCCAGCCTCTATTAAAGAGTTTTAAATGACATCTGCTTTATTAATGTGTGTGCGCGTAAGCACCTATGTGTGCACACTCCGAGGTACATACAGTAGAGACAAGAGGGTGACACTGCAGATGTTGGCTTTCTCCTTTCACTACGTGGGGTCCAGGAATCGAACTCTGGTCACCAGGCTCGGCAGTCACCACCTATACCCTGTAAGCCACCTCACCAGCCAGCATCTATCTACACATGCTCTCTCTCTGTCTCTCAACAAAATCTTACTCGGTAGTTCATACCAGGTCTGGAACTCAGAGTAATCCTTCTGTCTCAGCCAAGTGATGAGGTTACCGGTGCACCCCACCAAGCACATCCCACAGTGGGTCTGTTTTCTGTGACACTGTGCTCCCAGTGCTTGGCACATACTAGATGTTCAAGAAATATAACAGAGCCAGTGCAATGACTCGGCTCACAAAGGTGGCTGCCCGCAAACCTGGCAAATTGAATCTGATCCCCGGGACCCACATGGTGGAAGGAAGGAAGCGACTCCTGCAAGTCTGACCATGTTTGTGACGGGGAATGTTCATACTCATATACATGCCCGTACACACAATAAATACATTTTTTTTTTAAAAAAAAAAAAAGCAAAGAAATACCTAAAATATAGATCAACCTCTTTGCCCAGTGTTAAGCTGGCCACAGGCAGGAAGCTGCCCACCTCTCCCTCGACCTGACCCCTGCCTGTAACTCACCGTATTTCTTGTTAAACAGGTCTTGGACTTGTTCCCTAAGCGTGTTGGCGATGTCGATCCGCGAGAGCCTGGTGTTGTAATTTTCTGCGAAGTGAATACAATTATGGACAGAGGCTATTACATTAAAAGGCACTTGGTGACTTTTACAGGAAAATGACTTCCTAATTACAGGGAACTCCTTGTCTGGCAATTAGCAGATCTTTGGAGTGGGCCCCTCAGAGTCCTTCAGAACCAGTCTTCAGGAGACTCTGTGTGCGTGTTTTTTTTTGGTTTCCTGGAAGGACTCTCACACTGTTGGGACAACAGCCACGAAATGAAATTAGGCTAATTGTTGACATTTGAAAACTAACAAATGAATAAATAGGCCCAGAGGTGAGACACGAGGGGCGGGGGTGGGGGGAGGGTTGGAGTGAAGTCTTCCAAGAGATCACAGAGACATAGGGCCAGAATAGGAGTGTCTACCCCACCAGGAGTTATTGACAATTTGGTGGTATAGGACACACTGCCCAGAGCCTTGGAGATCACACAGAAATGCTCTACCACTGAGCCACGGCCCCAGCCCCTCACTGGGGGATTCTAGGCAGGGGCTCTACCACTGAG